CCCAAAAAAAAAAAATTAAAAAAAATTCAACCCTTGTATATTCAAATGATAGAAAAATAAAATTACAATAAAAAATATGTTGCCACACTGATCCAAAATACATACAGAAAGATGTGTTGAAATGAAAACACTCAAATATTTTCAGGGCTTGCCAGCCTAATAAGCAGTTGTAGTACCTGTGGAATTCATTTTAGCCGTAAAATATATAAATTGGAACAATGTTGCTACTTTCTTTCATGTTTAATTAATTTATGTTGATGTTAAATTTCTAACGTGTGGCCTTTTGTTGCATGTGTATTAGCTGTTATATGTTTTTACATGCATAACTATGTCATGCCCTGTGAATTGTATGATATATGTCGAATTTCGCATAATGGCTCCTCACTTCAATAAGGCGAGGGCCTCGCTTCACTCCTCACGCCATGACAAATAGGAAGGTTGTCGTCTCAGCTAGCCATGAGCCTTTTTAATCACTGGTTTTCACACCAGTTAGTAGAGTAGGTCTTGCCTTTGCTTGTTAATCTTGGTCTTCACCAACAACCAGAAGTCACAATGTCACATCTCCAACTGATATATATGGCTTCCTTCTCTTGTTTTGGGTGTGAAGTAGCTTTGAATTATGCATTGCAACATCATTACTTGTATAATAGATGTAATGTTTCCGTTTGACCTTCATCCGGTCATTTGATTGAGAAGCTTCTTGTATCATGAATACTGACTACTTAGATTCAATTTGACTGCCTATCGCAGCTCCTACTTTACTATGGTGATACTGGTATGAGAGGAATTCTTTCAGATGAACATGTTATGATTTCAGCAAAGTGTCAGGTATGTTTTATCATCTTTACTTCCACTGTGTTCATGTTGTAATATGCTCGATCATTAAGTAGGCAACGTTTCTTTTCATCTGCTTGCAATTATGGCTATGAGTGGCGTTGACTGTGGCATAGGTATTGGCTGAGCTTCTTCCTAAGCTAAACCGTTGTGGGAGTCGTGTTCTAATATTTAGCCAATGGACATCTATGCTTGACATATTGGAATGGACTTTGGATGTGATTGGTGTGACCTACAGGCGTCTTGATGGAAGGTAAGTCAATTTCTTCTGGTAGATATAATCTGGCATGTCAATGCTCTAACGAATATCCCGATGTGAATGAAGAAGAATTGACTGCTTTTTGTGAGTAATAATCAAGAGTTTGGTTTTGTACTTTGGTTATTTTTCTATATCGTTTTTTATTAATGTGGTTTCCCTTAAGATTTACTTAATTAAGTACATACTAATCTGTTCTGTATTTAAAGGACTAGTTTAATATCATAATAATTTACTTCTCTATTTGCTCACTTCAAGCGGATTGAATTTATGTACTGTACAATTATATGATATTTGGAAAAACACCGTGTTCTCCAGAAATGATCAAGAATTCCTTTGTAAGGATAGCGATTATGAGTATGGATACCTAATTAATGAAGCCAGGAATCTACTATTACTGTTTGTGGTGTCCTGTTGTATGTAAATCTATTGCTGTTTTAGGATAAAGAAGGTTAAAAGTGAGATCTAACTTTTCTTTATCTTTTGTTATCAAGGTAAACAAGGTTAAAAGTGAGATCTTACTTTTCTTTATCTTTTGTTATCAATGTAAACAATGGATAATAATCTTGTATTATGTGGAAAAGTTACGTTATGAAAATTACTTTATACTAGCCAGGTAATTTGTTTGTGGAGATGATTGATTCCAATCATTCTATGCTCAAGCTGAGATGATCTCAGAATTAAAAAGTAATACTTAACTGAGGTCTTAATGTTAAATCTAGTACAATGACTCTGATTCCATTTGCCAAACTGGATAATTCATCCTTCCCCCTTTCTAAAGAGTAGATGGAAAATATGCAACAGGGTGCGGGAATTGCATGTTTCTGGAATTCATTTGGATTCTCTGAATTAGACTTAAGATTTATCATCCCTGATTCTACACTTGTGGAGCCCCGTTACATATATCATAAGAAAGAAAAGAATAGAAGAAAATCTGTTTCAGGATTCCTGGAACTTGTTTTGCATATTAACCATTTATAACTCTGGTATTTATTAAGTTGGCGGAATCAAATACATAAAGAAGTCTAAGATTCAACTTATATAAGGTTTACGATGATTCTAAAACTTGTCTCTCTCTACCCTTTCGCTCTCCCTTCTCTCCTCTTTCAAAAAAAGATAAGCTCATCCCCTCCCCCTCTCCTCTCAGCCCTTCCGGCCACTGGCTTGAGTTCTGACTCTTCATTAGACCTTGCTAGCTATTAGAATGAGCTGGAGTTTTCAAGTTTGATAGCTTTACATCATAGGGTCTTGTTTCGTCTTTTAGGATGGGTTGACTCAACACGTGTTGGATTCTGCCTGGTGACACTTGTTCGTAACGGCTGCGGCTGCTGCCGGCCTAGGGCCTGTGGTTACGATAGTGGCGATGACTTCGTTTGAGGAGGGGGTGCCTTTATTTTATTTGTTGTATTTATTTTTTGGTGTATTTTTCAGTTTGTTCTTGTATATGTTTTTGTTTTGTTTTGTTTTGTTTAGTCTCCATTATTGAGGTGTTACAGTCTCCATTACTTGAGTTTGTCTTCCATGTGGGAGTGTGGTAGGTTTTGTTTGGTGTTTGTTGGTGTTGTGTTGTGGGCTGTAGGCTGCCCAAAGGCAGTTTTCCTAGAGTCAGCTTTCTTAGCTGTTTGATTAAGCTGTCCTACCTGTTTTTTAGTCCGTAATTTTTGTTTTTATTTGTTTTTGTTAATATAATTCTCTCTTTAAAAAAAAAAAATTGTTTATGCTGAGCTGTTGGGAAGTTTTCTTCGTAATGCAATTCCTTAGATCACTTCTTACGAGAACCCTTAAAAGGAACTGTGATGAAGAAAGTAAAATTTGAGAGGTAGATGGTCAACTTATACGTTTTTTTCCTTATCTACTTTGTTTGGTTTACATCTATCATTTGGTAGCAGTGTTGACTGTGGCAGGGCATGATCAGATAGACCACACTAGTGCTTATTGGTATTATGCAAATGAGTAGCATGGTTGACAACTTGAATTGTTCGTCCTATGACTAGTTTTAGCTGTTCTTATCTAAGCAGAGGTGTTTTTGTTCAGTATTGGAGTAGATGCAGCGAAATCCATAATATATTAATATCGTTAAAATTTGTTATTAGTTGGTAGCGTTTTGTTTTACATATATACTGTTGTCAGTACACAGGTGACGGAGAGACAGACGATTGTGGACACCTTCAATAAAGACACTTCAATCTTTGCATGTTTGTTGTCCACGAGGGCGGGGGGACAGGGCCTGAACTTGACTGGGGCAGATACTGTTATAATTCATGACATGGATTTTAATCCCCAGATTGACCGACAGGCTGAAGACCGCTGTCATCGCATTGGACAAACGAGGCCTGTCACAATTTACAGGTGAACTCTTATTTTCTCGCCGCACTGTCTGTTTCATAGTGGCTGTAGATGGATATGTGAGATTAACTTTTAAATTAGTCCTGGGTGCAGTACAATCATGATAGTGTCCCACTTTAGAGGTCTGACAACCAGATGGTTCTCTAAATCTAAATCTTAAAATTACAACTGTTTTATGGAATGGAACTTCTACTGGATTGAAACCCACATAGTTTTTGTGCCATAACTTGCATTTTAAGCCTAACATCGAGAAATTGAGCAACACAAGCCCCAATTGGAGTCAAATGGTGCATTGTTAGTCCAATAATTGTTAAGTCTTATGGGACTAAAATATGCAAAACAAGAAAGTAGTGGGACCAAAAATACAATTCTCTCAATAATTATGAGCGTTCGTGGTGATGGATATGGTTCCAAGCACTAAAGTTTTATGCCCATAATTGTGTTGTCATTGTGTAAACTGTTTTGTAAGTGCAAAAAAGTTCTCATGTTGGATTTTACTTTTATCTGAATGTCATAGTAAACATATAAGGATTGGCTGATATATAATCCCAGATTCCCAGTAATACTTGACGAATGAATAACTTCATAAACTTACATTGTGGGAATAATTGCTCAGAGCGTGTCTTTATTCGCGTATTTGGTGCTTTTGTATATGTGGTACTTGATCTGATTTAGACAACGATTGAGAACCTAATAATTTCGTATATTCCAAGGCTGGTGACAAAGGATACGGTTGACGAGAATGTTTACGAGATAGCCAAAAGGAAGCTAAATCTGGATGCTGCTGTGCTGAAGTCTGGAGTAGAAGTCGAGAATGATGGTGAGATGCCTGACAAAACTATGGCCGAGATTTTATCGTCATTGTTGTTGCATTAACCTTTTTGGGACAGCAATGTTGCTGGTTATAAATTTAAAGTTCAGCTCTAGTGCTGTTTTATTAGTTCAAATACTATTTTTTGTCGAATTTGAGACCGTTTATGGATTTTGGCAAAATCGGTCCGAGTGTTCAGAAATAGTTGCTTTTCTGCCGATGACGTTATAGTTTCTTTCAAGGCAATGCCATTTAACAGACTGATACAAGAAAGGCCATTATATGTGTTGGCACAAAGGGGCACAATATGGGTAGTGCCTTGAATTAGATGGGGTAATCATCAGCTAGTTTCTAGTAATAAAGATTTGCTATCAGCTAGGCTTAGATGCTCTCCCATCTCTCTTACTTTCTCTCTCTAGACCTCTTCCCTTCCATTCCCTCCCCCCTCTTTCCCGACCGTCTCTCCCAGCTAGGCCTTGCCGGCGCCCGTCGTCGCCGGCGGCGAGCCGCCCAGCTCCGGGAGGTCCGCCTACCTTGCCTCCCCCCACCAATTCTCCCTCTTTTCCCCCTTTTCTCCATGCCTACCTCCTTGAGCTCCCAGACTTCGGCCGCCTCGGCGTTCTCGACCAGTTTCCATCTCCCATCATCTGGTGATTTCCATGGCAAAGTCACCTCTTGGTCACACAACCTCAAGAAAGCCCCCAGATCCATTTTTGCCACGTCCGACTCACTTCTCCACCCTCGACCAGGAGGTCTGCCAGCTCATGGTAGCCTCCGTCACGACGTCCCCCTCCATCGGCAGGCCCACCTCCGCCTGTAGCAACGCCGCCCCTTCCTGGCGTCACCCCATCAACTGCGGGCCCTCTTCCGTCTATAGCAGCGCTACCACCCGTGACTGTCGACCTCTAGGATAGCGCCGTCCCTATGGCCGACTTCGGCGTCCCAACCGATCAGGCTACTGCAAACTCTTGGCCGGTCCGTTTTAGCTCATTACTAGTGAGTTCTCCCGTGGCGCCAGAAACCTCAGCTCAAACCTTGTCTTTTTCCCCTCAGCTCAACCTAATGAGGGCAACAGTTTGGGCCAATCCCTAGGCCCAAATCAGTTTATGATCTCTTTCCTTGTGGGCCGCCCCCCTTAGCCCATTTCTCTTCCTTACCCAATTCCCCTACACATACCACACATCCGACCAGGCCCATCCCATCTGGCCCATTGCTTCCCTCCCTCCTCAGCCAAGACCAAGCTCAGACAACGGCGCTCCAGGCTAGCCGTCAACCATCTTTGCCGGCGGCCACCCCCTTACTACCGGCCGGCGACTCTTTCGACATCGGCGCCGGTAACCCTCAGGCGAGCGAAGCCGTGCTTTTGCCGCCTCTCGTTGCCCCCTTCCCGTTGTAAGCTACCCCGTCGGTCTCCTCCCAGCCCACGACAAAGCTTAGGCACCCCAATCCGATCACCTCCGGCAATGGCACCTCCGACAATGGCACCTCGACAGACATATTAGGCCGCGGCTCCTACTCCGACCAAGGGCCGATCCCGACCATCTCCCCTCCCATATCGGTGATCCAGGGCCCCCGCCCAACCGGAGCTCGTTCTTTTCATGATGCAGTATCGGGCCCCCGCTCCGTCAAACAGGGCCACCAGAGATTGACGTTGGAGGCCTTTCGGGACAAACAGAGCGGGACCGTCACTCGCTCTGAAGAGGGCAGGTTCAAGGTAAGTTTCCCTGAGCCCACTGTTATTTTCCTAGTTGGGTTGTTTGATAATGCCCTCATCTTGAAGTTTTCCTTCACTGTTCCTTCCCTCCGGGATTTATCTGTCGGTCTGGTCAAATTGGGTTTTAAGGGTAAAGTAACTCCTAAGTTCCTTAATTATAATCCTTATTTACTCTTTTTTTAGCTGAAAGAGGACTACAATTATGTTTGGATTTAGACGCACCTCAATATCTTTGGTTGCTCTGGTAGGGTGTTCAAATACACCCCTGATTCTCTTTTGTTGAGGAATCTCCCATTGTCCCGGTATGGTGCTCTCTACCGGGCCTTCTACCACATCTTTTCGATCCTTCTGCCATTTTCTCCACTGCCAGCTGCATTGGCAACCCCATCGAGACTGACGCCGCTACGACGAATCGCTCGAGATTATTTGTCGCACGGGTGTGCGTGGATATTGATCTCAAAGACGAGCTCATCAAGGAGATTGAGCTCGACCAAGCGGGCAAGACCACTATCCAGAAAGTGGTCTACGAGAGAGTTCCCCCATTATGCACCCTATGCAGTCATGTAGGACATGGGGCTGCAAAATATTACACCACGGGCAACAAGCCACGTCCTGATTTGCCCCCCCGTCGCCGTGTAGCGAGGCGGGGACCTACTGTCACCCCAGGGAGCCCTAAGGAGAAGGGTAAGGGCAAGGGCAGAGTTACCTCTGAGGCCACCCGACCCAAGGAGGTTAACCTGGATGGGCCTAAGACCAAAGCTACAGGCTTTTTCCCACACCAGTCCTTCCAGACAGCACCCATGGCTACCCACTCTCGCTTCTCTGCGCTTGACACAGAGACGAAGGAGGAGATCCACACTGCCTCCGATCACTTAGGAGTTAGGAGCTTCGACCAGCTTCCCCTTTGACGTTGACGACCTATTAGCTGATGAAATAGAGCCTGCTACCATCCCATTGTGTATTGTTGCTTCCCCTATTCAGACCTTAGAGCCCTCCCCCCAACCTATCTCATCGTCCGAGACTACATCTTTCCCATCCCCACCAGCTCGACTCCTTCTGACCCTGCCTTCCACATCTTCCACCTCACCCTCTCTCGAGTTAGGACTGCCTCTCACACAGGGCCAGACGCAGTGCATGGCTGTCCTGGAGCCCCTACTCCTCGCCCTCCTCTCTTTGGAGATCCCTCCTATGCGAGAGGACCCTGACCAGGAGAGCCCAGATCGCAAGACACCACAGACCAGATCGAGGACTGCGCAGCGCTCTGTTAGACGAGCTTTGCTTCCACCAGACATTCAGACACAGCCTAACCATGGACATATCCACTTAGGCGGCACCACTGACATGTCAAACACTTACGTTTGACATGTCAGTCACATCGCTGACATGGAATGCCCGTGGTCTGGCTAATAGGACCACCCTCGCTCACGTTTGCTCTCTCATTCGTGAGCACAAGCTGGACTTTGCGGCTTTCCTAGAGCCTATGACTCGTGACCCTTCTTTTGACGTATACTCGCGCCGCCTTGGCTTCCATGTCGGGGTGGGCAACACATCTAATAAGATTTGATTTTTCCACTCACGTGACTTTACTTGCCAGATCATCCGAGACACTGATCAGGTTTTGCACGTGAAGCTCGCCGCCGCCCACCTTTCGGAATCAATCTTCCACACCTTGGTTTATGCCAGTTGTGCGAGGGTTGGTTGATATGATCTCTGGGACACCATGCGTGAGATTGTCGAGAGTATGGAGGTATTACCGTGTATGGTCAGCCACCATTCGATTTCAGAACATGTGGGTCCGCCACCATTCTTTCTACGATATTGTTAGAGCTTCCTGGCTGCAAGATACACACTTTTATGGGATGCGCAGCCTGGAGGAGAAGCTCAAGAGACTCCGCCGCGTGTTGAAGCAGTGGAACTGGACGACTTTTGGCGATATTTCTCAGTGCCTTACTGCAACTCAGGATGCGTAAGCGGAGGCTGAACTGACCTATGATCTGGATTCTTCACCATAAAATAGGACCGAGATGCGCCGTTGCCATGCTGAGTACCAGTTGCGCCTCCTTATGGAGGAAGATTTTTGGAAACAGAAGGCTGCTGTTTGCTGGGTAGCTGAGGGGGAACGTAATACCAAGTACTTCCAGGGGTTTGTGAGACAAAAGCGAGTCAAGTTGTATATCCATAGTATCGAGGATAATGGCTCATCCGTGACCCAGGAGTCCGAGATTCGGGAGTCGGCTAGGGCTTACTTCCACTCCCTCTTTTCCTCTGAGCGGGACTTGCTTACGCACCATAACCCCGGCCTCTTTCCGACCATCCCGCAGTCGGTTGACCTTATCGGCCTCTGCGACCTCCCGAGTAAGGAGGAGATCAGGGAGGCTATTTTGGGATTGATCCCAACAGTGTCTCTGGGCCGGATGGTTTCTCGTCCCTCTTCTTCCAGTCATGCTGGGAGATTGTGGGAACTGACGTAGAGGAAGCTGTGAGGAATTTCTTTTCTGGCCACCAGATGCTAGAGTCCTTCACAGCAACCTCCATCATTTTGATCCCTAAGAGACCCGGAACGAGCTCCTGGTCCGACTATAGACCTATCAGCTTATGCAATGTGACTAACAAGCTCATCTCTAGGATCCTCAACGGGCGGCTCGCCCCTCTTCTCCCCTACCTTGTCTCTCCAAACCAGAGTGAATTCATCAAGGATCGAGTCATTAGTGATAATATACTTTTGGCCCAGGAGATGATTCACGATATCTCTCATGCGAACCGCACACAAAACCCGAACCTCGTGGTGAAGCTAAACATGGCCAGCCATATGATAGGGTCGAGTGGGCCTTTCTCAGGGAGGTACTGTTTCAGATGGAATTCCCCAATCGTTGGATTAGCTTTGTTGAGGCGTGTGTGGAACATTGCACGTTCTCCGTTTTGATTAATGGTAGCCCCACGACTTTCTTCCCCTCTACCCGTGGCCTGCGTCAGGGGGACCCCTTATCCCCCTCTCTTTTTGTTCTAATGGCTGACTACCTCTCTCGCTGCCTTGACGGTTTCATTCGCGACTTTCCGAGGATGACCTATAGTACCCGTGGCTGTGGGCCTCCCATATCCCACCTCTCTTATGCGGATGACATTATCATTTTCACTCGTGCGAATGATAATGGGCTAGCCAATCTCATGAGTCTTTTGGACCACTACAGTGAACCTCTGGCCAGCTGATGAGTGTTGGAGCACCACATTGTAGACCAGTGGTCTCACGAGCGCACTGGTTTTGCTCGAGGAGACTTACCCACCCCTTAACTTGGGGCTCCTTTGTACAAGGGCCATCTCTTTCATGAGCTTTTCATTGACGTACGTCAGAGGATGATTAACAGGATTTTCGGTTGGTCGCATAGACACCTATCCTTCGAGGGTCGACTTGCTCTGATCAAGAGCACTCTTTGTGCTCTCCCTCTTCACCTTCTCGCGGTGCTCGATCCCCATCAGTCTACGATTCACGAGCTAGATCAAATATTAGCCCGCTATGTTTGGACTTTTCGGCTCTCAAAGGTGAGTACCTACTCTCCTCCTTGAGTCTACATAACTTTTGGTAATTGGTGCACATCTCTTTCCTTCATGAACCATGGGGCGCACCCTAGTGGTGACGCTCTTGGTCCAACAATTCACAAATCGGATTTGGGTCTTCAGTTCTTGCAGCTTCTTGGCGTTTGTGTCTTCAGCTCTTGCAGCTTCTTGGCGTCTGGGTCTTCAGCTCTTGCAGCTTCTTGGCGTCTAGGTCTTCAGCTCTTGCAGCTTCTTGGAGTCTCTCGGCTTGGCGCTTCTGACGCTAGTTCTATTTTAGTACCAGGTCAATCAAATTCCATTTGTCGGTCATGAGGTCTTCTCGGCAACATTTTTTAAATACGTACGCGTGATTGAGAACAATGGTTAAC